CCCGTGTTGACCAATCACATCACTTAAACCCTATCCATTTCATTTTCAAAAGGCAAATTCCAGTTGGAATATTTTAGATAGTTAACAATAACAAAAATTGAATTTTATTTAAATCAAAATTTGAAATATCTGATAAACCAAACAAACCAAAAAGTAAAAGAAGATAAAATCTTGGAATGATATCCTATCAAACATTCAATTTTCAACTTAGAAACCCCTTCAATTGAAAGAAAAAAATCTCATTCCAAGCAATATACCAGTGAATATATTCCAGACATTCTTTTTGTCATTTTCCTCTTTTGGAAATTAAATTGAATCAATAAAATCAAAATCAATAAATTTTCTTTAACAAATCAATAAAGCTTAAATACGTTATATTACACACAATCTCAAGGAAAACCCATTGAGTCTTATCCCTTCATAACAAGCCGCATTAGACAAGAGACACGGATATGATCAAGAGAGAAACACAAAAAAATCAAACTTTGAAACCTTTTTAGATGGTGGAAGTCTAAACAATGTTATGTGGATTCAGGCATACTTAGGTCTAGATCTGCCTGCAAACGTCACAACCTCTCCATCAAATGCTATCACTGTGCGCTGTGTTTGACTGAGTCCCCTACTTGTGGTGCATTAAAGCATAACCCCTCTGACTGCTGAATTGACCCCGCTGCACCGTATCCCATCTTAGGAATAAATGATATTTACTTGCCTAATCCAGGCGTATTTTGGACAAATATTTTGTCATATTAATATACTTATCGCGAATTGAGTATTTAATGGACGAAGAACAAACTTGTCACACTATATTAATCCCTCTCTTATAACGCTTCAAGTCGAGGTTAGTCCCCATCATAAGAGCAGAAAAATTCCACTTTCGCTAACTAAGTCTATCGTCTGCGAGCAGTTTCCGCGGGCTTGGTTTACGCAGAAAAAAGTTACAGGAAAAGCGCGATTGATACTGGGCGGCCGTTGAGACGACACGCTACCATTCCGAATCACCACGAATCTGTCGTTTTGTCATCTTAACGAATTCCTCTTGAGACAAGGCTACTCGAGATGATTAAACAGAAACATAAACACAAAATTTGATGAAGTTAAGATCGTTATTTTTTATTGAGGGGTATGACCCGGTGTCACACACGAACATATAAAGACTTACATCCCTCATTAAATGATTTTCCCTCTCCACTTGCAGGTAAGGTTAACATGATAGATGATTTACTGAGATAGTTCTTTTATTCTTTTAATTTATATGTATCTCATTTAACGAGGGTCTATAATATTTGAATTATTTTTTTTCATTTTAAAACTCAGGCCAGGTAGGGAAAAAAAATGAAATTTCGTATTTGAAAAAAAAGGAAATTAATATATATTACAGTCATCAATATAAACTCTCTCTCTTTCTCTCTCTCTCTCTCATGAAAAGTATAAATCGTAACTTACTAATCAGCTATTATAAAAATTCACACATACATGTTATAAAATAATTTATATTCTTACGAAACATTGCTTAAAAAAAGCATCACCAACATTTTCATATTTCATTAAGTAAAGTTTCATTACAGTAAATATCGATGTTTGAACTCAATTAGATTTTTAAGCGACTAAATACATAAACTAAATATATAAGTAAACTATATATACATGATTGTATTATCATCAGATAATTAACCGTGATTAATAAATATATATTTGACTCTTAACAGAAGAGTCTCAAATTGATTCCATTGCTTTAGAAAAGAAAACATCTTAACTGCAAAGCATTTCATGTACAAATGAAGAGGAATATTATGTCAATGATATTACAATATTTTGAGAAAAATTTCCAAATTGGTGACTTGGAAAACTCGTGTTTAAAAAAATCCCATGTGAAATATTAAACTTAATATTGTCTCTGAATTACAATTAATATTAAAATGCCGTAAATTCGATATTTTTTGCCATCACATTAAAAATCTTCTTAGTTTATCATTATCTTTCAAATTACTCGACAAAACAGAAAAAAAAATTAAAATTGATTAACAGATTTCTTTTGTATTTGAAATGACTGGCGAAGTATTTTCAGCGTACTAGATATGGCTTAGAAATTTTCAAAGATCCAACTCGTATCTGAGATCTCAGCAATTCATTACAATGAATTAGAATATTAAGATAACAAACATAATAAAAACATATGAAAATTAAACATCAGAATATGGATCAAGTGCCATAGAGAAGTAATAATCACCTGTCGTCGGTCATATCCGTCGTGTATTCTTTGCCATGATCGGATAAATTCGGTATCATGTTTATTATTTATCACTTGTATGTGTGTTGGTTTATACCAGATGGTAAAGCTTGAAATTAAAAAAATTGTAAAAAAAAAAAAAAAAAAAAAAAAAAAAACACTCTTTACATTGAATGATTTCAGTATTTGATAAAAATTCATGAATGAAGATAACGTAGTAGGTGAAAATGCATTTAAGATAGATATGAGTTAATTAATTCGTGTATTAATTTTAAAAAAATAATCCATCATAACAGAAAACTCAACAACTATAATTCATATAGTTCATAATAATGAATTTTCGTTCATGAACTTTAATTAATTTCTAAACTTCTCCATTTCCAGGGAAAATAAATTATTTTCTTCGGTCAAAAAGTAAAATCTAAAAATAGACTTATTTACCTTTATGTAAAATAAAATTATATATACGAATTACATTTCTAGCCTGCGAAGACGTCATGTTCAATAAAAGAACAAACATGATTCTTTAATTTATGGATAATTGAACAAAAGGAAGTAATAAGAAATGCAGTTTTAAAGCAATGTTAATGGCATAAAACAATAATATATAAGTCTTATATAAATATGAAAGTGTAATTTTTAACTTAAACATTTAAAACAATCTATAATTCATTTATCAAAGTGAAAAATAAAAAAAAATTCTATAAAAGCAAAATTAGTTTTTCTCACGCAATTTTTAATTTGCTTTATTTCTTATTTATTGATTTTTTAAATATAGGTTAAAAATTATTGAGTTTGATTTGAACATGACAATTCAGAAAGAAAATACACTCTTGGAGAAATCTTATAAAGGCATGATACCTGGCCCCAGGATCATGAAACATCTTAAACTTAAGTCAAAATATTCATGTTGTACTCGAATTTGGATTAAGGATTTCCATCCCTAATAGGACCAAATTCTCTACCCTTAAATGTCCATCAGATAAATAATACTTATAATTAAAATTTTAACAGTAAACAGAAAATTTATTAATTACATTTTAACAAAGATTACAAAAAAAAGTTTTTCTAATAAAAATTCAAATAATTTGAATATCAATAAATGCTCTGGTGGAAAGATGCAATGACATTTTAGAAATAGAATAACAATGGAAAACAATTTTTTTACCGTATAGAAATTGTTAAATTGATTTTTTTATTAACTAAAAATGCCATCAAAATTCAAAGTTAAATTAGGACACATCCTAACATGGATAAAAATGAATATTTTAAAAGAAAATTAGAAATGTACATTTTTTTAAAATTAGAGATTCAAAATAATGAACATTTTACAACAAAAAGACAATCTTTTCTCATGATCCTGGGGCCTGAATTTTATGTCTTTACATATATTAATAAAATTAACCAAAAGTATAATGACAAGATCAAAAATGTATAATGAAAAAAGTTCGTGATGTATTTTTCTTAAAGGCCACTTGTTTTCGAAAAATATAGAAAAATTAAAAGTGTACATTTTTTTTTCACAAAAGCAAAACAAAAAGACAATCTTTTCTCTACGAACTTTATTTCAAATTCCAAAAGTACACAAGAGCCTTGAAAAATATAGAAATGGTGGACACATTACATTCATTGGTAATTAGATCTTCACTTGTGAACATCCCTTTACTTAGGATTGTTATTGATTATACAAATAATCACAATTTGCATCTTTAATGCCAAAATTGAAAGCAAAACCTTAGATAGGACTGCTTAAAATGGAAACAATTATATATATTCTTATGTACTCTTATCATTTCCCTATTGTTACAACTTACAACTGATGTTCATTGTAATTAAGATAAAATACTATATTTCAAAAAGCAAAAGTCGATGGGAAAAAATGACATGCATTCGGGTCAAGGTTTCTTGTCTTTTTACAGTCATTGAAATTTTATTATTTTTGTTTATAAATACGTTGACATCGGATTTTTATAGTACTTTTTACTAGACTGTTTTCATAGAATTTTTGGTATTGGATTAGATAAAATAAAATTGCATTCGGTTGTTAGACACTTTGATAGTATATATATGTTAAAAAAAAAAAAAAAAAAAAAAAAAAAAAAAAAAAGATGCACGAATGAAAGTAGAATTTATGATTATTAAAATCAACTGCTGAATACAGGTTAACTGTAACTAAATCTTTTAAGATACATATTAAACTTATATGTCTCTGTTCACACTGATAGAGAAAAAACTGATAAGGGGCTCAAATCTCAAACATTTCAATCAATTCAAAAATTAAAGCAAGAAAAACTGTTGAAACGATTTATTTTTGATACTTTATTAATGAGATAGGTTAGATAACGTTTGACTGTCGTGAAAAGCAGACAAGTTAGAACAGGATAAATTGTTTTATAAGTATGATTTGCAACTTTGTGTGTAAATCGCAACGACAAACAAATTTACTTTCTCTTTTTGTTTTAGCATACGTAAAATGTTTTTAAAAACAAGACTTTTAGCATTGTGTAAAAAGCAAATTGGATTTTCAAAAAGGATTAAATACAAAAAAACGAAATTATCGTCTCCGTAATAAAATAGATGATCTTGTGTAAAATAACATCTATATCCTTTTCATGCCCCCGTGACGGTTTATTTGGAGGGGTTCATCGACAAGTATGTATAAAACAGTGTTTAAACTTCATTTAAAGATTAAATCCTTAAACACGTTTCACTCCTTATAAGAAGTGGCTTCCAAGTAAACATTTCGTACGGACATCTTCCTAAAGCTGAAATGATCACACAACATCAACGCCTTTCCAAACAGATTAGCAGCTCAAAATACGATCTTAGAGTGTTTGGTTGGGGTAATGATTGATTACAATGGGATGGCCCATATTAAACTCTCTCAATTCTCATTGAGAAGACAGTGATGAAAAGAAATTGATATGTTTAAACACTTCTCTAGAACGGTTTTCCTGAATTAAGATCAATTAATTATGCATCTCTTGCAAGTTTTCTTATTTATTCTTCCTCTATTTTCCACAAAGATTAAATTAATCATATCTAAAGAATTGATATCAATTTCATTTACTCCTAGTTTAGCAAGGTACTTAAATTTTGTTCTACTCAAGACAACACCTTTAATGTAAAATGAACTTAGTTCAGTCTCTTCACTCTTAAACCTCAGTACAGGTAGGAAAGCACGTACATTTATCTTCTGTTCTCTATTTTTGAAACGAAATGAAAATTTGTATACTTAGATTTGAATTAATACGAAAAATATTATATTGAATTGTATTTTTCATCTCTATGGTGAATTTCTTTGGTTTTTCGTATTTTTAAAGTTTAAAAAATCATTTATTTTATTCTTTTGCTTTCCTTATTTTTATTTATTTATTTAATAAAATAATTTCAATAGTTTTAATATTTTATTTGTAAAGAAAGAATGCACATATGCAATATAAAAATATTTTTTAAAAACTATTTTCATGTTAAACTAAAGAGCAGTTATATTTTTTCCGTTGAAATATTTTGAAAATTCTATTTGAATATACAATTAATAAATTTTTAAAAGTAATTCTGTATTCAGAATGTTGATTAATTTGTTATTTTATTTGTAAGCTATGCAGCCATACAACAGTCATATGGTTTTCCCGCCACGGCCACCATTTTTGAGCCTGCACAACCCTTTAACTTACCCCTTTCAGTCACACTCTGCTCTTTTTCCTTTCCATGGAACACCATACGCATTACCACCATCTGTGTCATTTGCTGACAAACTTGCTGGTAAGTAAAAGCTAAAAAAAATTAAAAACCCTTAAATTTGATATTAAAGCATTACTTTCTAAATAAAGTCCGGATGTCTAGGCTGTTCGGCTAGCAAACCCTTCTTTCTCAGACTTCTCTTACATTTTTATCAATGGCTAACTCAACTTTTAGAATATGATACACGTAGGTGATATCCTAGGGATGTCCAATAAGCTTTCCGAGTTTTCATTTTCTTCTTTGGGGTTAATGAGAGATAAATTAAAAAAACAACGTAGTTCACGAATCTATAGTTCCTGGAACACTTACATTTTAAATACATGTAGTTTACAAACCAAATTCTGGAACGTAAATGGGGTATCCTGTAGATGTATATCTTTGATTTTCATCTTTGGGGCGAAGTCGGATCTCAAAACAATTTTTTTTCTACAAAAATCAGGTTTCCAGAAAATCTCTTTCATTTACTACAGTAGCCTATTCATCTTTTAAAGAATGGCTGTTGGTGTCCAGTAGATGTGCAATAAAAGATTTCTGAGTATCATTTAAGAGACTAATCAGGGACTAAAAAATGGAAAAGTATCTTTTTTGTTACTCAAAAACCTTTCCAAAATTACTTTTTAAACAGTTTTAGTAGATTCAATTTACTAATTTGTCTCAGCGTCTAATTAAAATAATTTTGACATGTTTTTAATATTATAATATGATTGATTCTTCCTCTCAGTATATTTAATTACATAAAAATTACATAAAAACAAGAAATACATTAATTTTCTCACTCACTGGAGACCACCGAGGACTACCGTTTTCCTACAACTTCCAACACCCTTCTCCTGCAGAAAAGACACAATTTTAATGTTTTATTCATCCATTGTTCCATTATATAAAGTTTATTCCGAGTTATAATAATTTATTATTTTGACAATACTTTTCGCTTACATTTTTACTATACAAGGAATAATCATTTAACAAAATATTTATCAGATTACACTTACCAATTACAGATAAAGTGAAGTACTGTTGAATCACTTTGTTGGTGTAGCTGAATATTTTTTTCACGTGGCAGAGTTTCTGATTGTTACAGCAGATTTGCTTTTTGAGGCAAGATTTGGTTGTCAAAGGAAGCAGCGGCGATGCCGAACAGCATTCACGAACCAACAGTTGTCCACATTAGAAAAGACGTTCGCTAAAACACATTATCCGGACGTCGTTATGAGAGAGAGGCTGGCAATGATGACAAATCTCCCAGAAGCCAGAATTCAAGTATCTAATCTATCTGTTGGTTAAAGCACTGTGCTGACTTGACATTGTTTGTCAATGTTTCCTCTATGCTTTGATTTTAACTCCATGCAGTCACAACACTTTTTAAAAAGTTTTTAATGTCAAATATACATGCGGTTTGAGTGAATTAACTATTTTAGTTTGCATTCAGAAATTACTTTCAAAAAAGATTTGTATAAAATTGTTTGAATAAATATACAACCAACAAAAAGAAAATATTTAAAGTTCAATTTCACAATCGTTAATGATTCTAAAATATACATGTATGTATATTTAAATCGTATGGACTGCTCTAATACAACAATTAAGCAACATCCTGGAAAGAAATCTGCAAACAATGACAATTCGTTCAAATGAATAACAGTACAAACATAGTTCAACCATAAATATTATTCAATTAATGATTTCTCATATCTGTTTTGTTAAGTTTACGATGATTTATTGTCACACAGCTGCTGTATTAAAATAACCTCTCTTATAACAACATAAATAATGTTTTATCTTCATGTATTCATTGCAATAATAAAATGTAAATCAAATGTTCAGACTGAAGTTATTTCATTCAGGTGTGGTTTAAGAATAGAAGAGCCAAATTTAGGAAAAAGCAGAAAACTGCACCTGTTACAGAGCAGAGCAAACACCTAGAAGATGTCGAAACGGAGTCACGTGATCATTCAGGTAATGTCGAAACGCAGTCACGTGAACAGACAGGTGAGATAGAGGTAGATGCAGATGCTTCTACAGAGACTGGTACTAATTCAGACCAAGAAACGACAGAAGTCATTGTGGATGTCGTGAATGATGAAGATGATTCGTGTGAGAAAGAGACAGGTTAGAAAAGCAGTGCATAAAAATAATATTGTTATTGTGATTTGAAAAAATCCATTTATTTATCAAGTAATTTTACTTATTTTTATCAGTATTTTAAAATTAATTTGAAATATGTAGAAATATCTTTTTCTCTTATAATGCATATTTGGAGTTAATTATTCATTACTGACACATGTACTTGTACGTGATTTTAGAGTATGTTTGAAATAACTATTGTCATTGTTGAATTAAGCCTTCTCAAATAAAAAAAAAATACAAAACAAAAAACAATACTTAAGGGGACAAAAGCAACCAAATATCGACATAGGTAACCAATATATGTAAAGAATTCATATGCATCCTTAATTTTTTTCCGTCTTTTTTGAAATTGTTAATTCAAGAAATCGCATAATTAAGTTATGCAATTTCCTTCTCACGTGCCTCTATTTGTACTTGAAAAAGCAATTAAGAAAACGAAAAGGGGATTTATATTATTGCTAATATAACTTTCCTACTCAATATCGGTACTCATCGCTTAATCAATTACTCAATACATGTATTATAAAGATTTCTTTTTTATGAATAATCTAACATAAAAATATAAAATATCCTTTTTGTTAATTTTCAGAACTTAAATCTGGACTAGAAAATGAAGAATCAATAGTAAACAACAGTAATGGCTCTGATCATTCGCCTGTTATTAAAAAATCCGAATTACGAAACAAGGATGACGAAAGGGAAAACAATCATCGCAGAGATGAAACAATGTCACATAAAATGTCACCACATGTTGGAGAACAAACTGGTAATACATGTATTTTCATTTCATTCACTGATTTCTTTAAACTAAAACTATTTGAATAATATTTATTTAATATTTTTCCTTCTCAAAAGAAGCAGATAAAGTTGTGTATACCTGAATTTTTGAAAGAAAATATCTAGATTTCCGTCAGTAGAAATTGAAATAGCTAGCTATTATTCTAATAAAAAAAATGATTATTTTCCTCAGGAAAAGAAAAAGTAACATTCCCATCTCCAACTGCGTTACCGCCATTCCAAATATTTAATAATCAGAGACACTTAGGTATCCCTCCGCCACACAACTTTGGATTGCCTTTCTGTGTGCCTGAAGAAACCTTTCCATCTTTGTTCCGCAAATCCACAAGTTTCAGTAACGATCTACCCATGTCCTTCGGAATCTACAAGAGGGATGGCGTTGGATCGGATCCTCATTTTAGCAGTAGTATTGAAAGTCTCCGGTCGAGAGCAAAAATGTTTTATGAATCTATTGGCAAAATGTAAAATGGTGAAAAATTTTCGTCTGATTAAAACTGTGTTAAAATACTCTTTCAAATGCTATTTTATATTGTATATTTTGAAATAAGTTGGCCATTTAAGCTGATTTGTTAATTCAGAAATTAGAATTGTTGCAAAAATAAAGATTGTAACCAACTAATGGTTAAGAGTATGTGTGAAAACATGCTTATTCAATATTCAAGCTGGAAGATATCTTTTATATGTTAAAAAGTGTGTTTAGCTTCAAAACTATAATACATGTACATGTATTATGTATTAATAATATTTTTTAACAGACTTAAAGTTAAGTGTATTATGTTAAAATGCATCCTGGTTTTTTTTCCTATAAAATATGGAAATCCAGTCGCTCAAGATGATTTCTAAAGATTTTCAGTTTTATCTGATGCAGGCTATATATAGCATGGAAAAGATACATTCATGTACCTTGATGGAACTGCATCTATATTTAAATTTTATCATTTAAAAGAAAGCTGATTAATGTACATGCTAATTTGTTCCAATGAACATTAGAATACAAAACTCAGCTGCATATTTTCGAAATGAAGCTGACAGTGAAATACTGAATCATTTAATTGAAATACCTTAAAAGCCAGGTTTATGCCTTCAAAATTGCAACGCTTCTCTTGTGATATCTGAACTATTTCAATGTGTCTTTATTTGGTTTTCATTATGTACGATGCTTGGAATTAAGAAGACCGGTTTTAAGGCCAGTTTCTGTAAATTACCTATAGATGTGTATAATCCATGCAAAAATAATGCATTTTTGGCAGTATAGGAGGAAGAAATCCGTTTATGTGGAAGCTCCTGATCAATCTCCAACTTTTTAAAGCTTTTATTAATATAAATGTCATTCTTAAATATTTCTTATTAAACCTTATAAACAATAAGAAGCATAAACATTAAGAGGCTAATTAAGGAATTCTTCAATAAAGTCTGTCAAACAAAAGAATCCTAACAATAAAAAGATTAATGCGGCACATATATGTCATTGTACCTGTATATATCAATTGTCAGAACCGACCACAGACGATGACAATAAGGTATTCTGGTAACATTTTTAACAACCTTTGAATAGAAAATCAAAAATAAATATATAAAAACTCGTATAAACATACTAGCATAATAACGACACGTGAAAATTTGAAGATAATTGAAAGTAAATAAGTTCAAAATACAATGAAATAATGAAGATTTGGAAGCAAAGAATACACGGACCCCTGGTTACACTCGTTAGGACGGGATCCTGTGCCAAGGAGGATAACTGTCGATCGGTCACATATGTCGTGAACCATTTTGAATTCAGTTAAACATAGTAGTAAGTAGAACAATTAGTGTAAAAGCAAATACTAGTAGTATAACAAATGGTATTTAAAAAGTTTTCAATTTTCAAGCCAATGACTTTTCAAACAAGGTCATGTACAACCAAAGAATTTGCAAAATTGACAATAAACGAAATTATTGAATACCTTCTGTAAAAGCAAAATCCTTTTTAGAAAACTGATGGTACGAAGGCATCAGTTCTAAGACATTTTGCAGGGAATGATAGTATATACTGTGTAATACCTCATACCTATAGATAAGGGAGGTTGAACTTAGAAATATTGAACTATTTTCCTGTTCACTGTATAGATATTGTTTATCAAAAATTTCAGCACATTTTATATACATGTTTCAACCAAACAATATTTTGCAAAGAATAAGAATAATTCTTAAAACAAAATAATTTTAGGTTGACATTACAATATATCGAATCTCCTAATGCCATTTTGTATTGAAGAAGTTAACTTCTTTCTTTCTATTTATCACGTGGAATGGCTGCATCAAATTTGAAGTCTTTTAAGTTTTGATTTGGCTGATTTTGGAAAACTGCAACATCAAACTGCTCAATTCCTTTAGGCATTTTCACACATGCCCATATTTAACATAAGAAAAACGTTGTAAAACAAGTTTTTATTTTTATTTTTTACTTTAAAAATTTCTTTTTCGCTGTTTTTGATATATTAAGTAAAATATTTACCCAATTCTGTAATTATATATATCGTTTGTACTAATTTTATGAAGTTCATGAATCTAGTTTAAGAATATTATAAATTTAAATTCAATTAGGTCAATTAGAGGGGCTAGTAGGCAATGTAGAAAAATAAAAGATTTTTAAAAAGTTAAATACTCCACTTTAATGCACAATTAATGTTTGATATACAAAAACACAACTCTATCAATTCTAAGACATAGAGAATAAAGCAAAGAGAAAACAGGTTATGTCCCTTAACCTACATTGGAATTTTTTTAAAATAACGCACTTCATTAGGATTGGAAAAAGTAAATTTGTAAAAAATATAAATAAAAAGATAATTTTCTCAGATGAAAGATACTAAAAAGATTAAATTTAAAAAACATAAACTTGAGTTTTGCTGGAACATAATATTATAATATACTTTTTTAAGCATCAATAAAACAAAGTATTATTAAAATCCTTTTGTCATCTAAATACAAATTCAGATAAGATGGGGTTATTTGTGCATTATGATGACATATATTTTAACAATGTGCAATCAAACTTTTCATTTTTTCGTAGCATCACTACTAAGCAACTGTACTAGAGATCAATTATAAAATTATGGCCTAGACTTTTATTGGTTTTGTGCATAACATTAATTGCTAGAGAAGACGCCTAACTTTTACTATAAAATTGAGATTTAATATCTCTCTAAATCCCAAAGATTTCATTTCTTTTAAAATGTCGACTTTAACTTTTCTAGTGTCAACTTAATTTCCTTGATTTTATACGCAAAGGTATTTTCTACGTACGAAAAATTTCCTGAACAGATAAGGTTATACATGCATTTACAAAAAAGTTGGTAATGCAAGGATATCAACAATCTCGTTTAATATTAACATATTTTAGTTTTATGGTCGTTAAAATGACCTTGTTTGCAAAATACAAAATGTCGTTAACAAATGTTTTAAATTGAATTTTGTTTACACAAAATTCCCTCCTTTTTTTTAATATGGCAAGGAGCAGACGGCGGGTGTTACCAGTAGACAAGGGGATGCTTCCTCATCCTTGGCACCTGGTTCTGCCTCTGTTTCTAGATGTCTTTTTTTGTCTCTCCTCAATATCTGCATATTGACCTGATATAATTTTTAAGACAAAATATACAAATTTCCTTTGTGCCTTAGACTCTATAGTGGGTAAATGAAATATATGGAGATTGTTCCTAGACTGAAAATATCACTAATAAAATTAAAAATTAAAAATCTTTTAAAAAATGAATTATACAATTGAAATTAAATTCTATGCAATTAGTAGTAAATATAGGCCTTGCTAGTGTTTACATTAGAATTGATAGGATAAATTTAATATGTAATTTAGATTCCTAGCACTGAAACTCTCTTGTGGGTTGCTTGATTTTCCTGGACTTTTTCGACAACAAAATTATCCATATTCATTCATATTTAATTCATAATTATTAAATATAATCAGCTAAGAAGTTTAAATAAAATCAATTTGCGGAACTATTTTTTTCCTTGAAAAAAAAAAAAAGTAGACAAGCTTTCTTTGATACACCTATACTTTTTATTCTTACCTGTGAGAAAAATCATCTGATTTTATTCGTACAGTACCACTGTCAACTGATATATCAGGAACAATCAGAATTTTATTCTGAAAATAAAATATAAACCTTTAAATTTACTTTTTTCATTTTTTTTTTTCATATATGCATTTGTAAACAGTCCCGTGTATAAATTAAGGGTGTTTTTCTTCTATTTTCTCCATTGTTTATAGGGACAGTGCACTCAAGAATCCATCTGATATTGATCAAAACACAAAGATCAAACAAATTGATATAATGTTTGCGTAATCGTTTTTCAATAATTTTATGGATAAAATTAACTGTACTAGGGTGATATTTTTGAACATTTAGTATTGAGATCACAATGACAAACAGTGATATGCTCTGTTGAACGAACGTTGATGACACAATACTAGCGTGCACCCAGGACGATCAGAGATGGTTCGTACTTTCATCTTTGCACCAATTATATCTCTGGGAAAACCTTTTATGACAATTAATAGACCACTATACCACTACCATACAAATGCTTTCATTGGTATTTTTGTTCTTATTTGCTTTCGTACAATTAATATTTTGGTTGATGCTTTTCGGTTTTGGTTGAAAAACACAAACTTTCAGGTGAGTCTCTAGTAAAATAAGATAAGAGGTTTTTTTAAATATCCGTCGTAAAAGAGGGACAAATCTAACAATTTCAACACAGAACATAAACACTGGCTTGCGGACTTGCATAACATCTTGGAAAACATAATTTACCTGAAATTGAAACACATTTTTTTTCTCTTTATAAAATCATTTTTATTCGGAATGTGTTGCACAAAATTCTAAGTGAAAACATACCCATGATGAAATTTATCACACTATATATTTCCCTTATTTTATTTTACAACGGTCAAAAATTAATTATACGAAAACTCACACTGTTCATTAGTATTTTATAATCAATGTCATGAAGCCCACAAGTTTGTACAAATGGAAAGAAATCCCTGCTACAAATTACTGTTATAAACTGAACAACTGCGCATCACATAAAAAGCTATTTCTCTGAATTGTTCAGATAGGATCTGTGGTTTACCAAACTTATTCAAATATGCAATTGCTATACATGTTCGTAAGGCAAAAACATGGAACAGGACATAAATAATCACAATATTTAAAATTGTTAAGGATATGCATGCATTAACATAGAATTGACATAGCATTAATAGACATTCTGAAATTAATGATAAAATATCTACATTTGTTTGTGTGAGGGTGCGTGGGGTTGTTTTTGTTTGTAATAAAAATTTTATTATTTAAAAGGCGTAGTAGAGAAAAATACGTGGTCGAACTTGTCTCTTATTTTTATATTTTCATATTTTTCTCATTAATAATTCAAAAAGAAGTAGCTATTCACTCCTGTAGAAATTTTGGATAAATTTTACACGATCAATATATACTCTTCA